AAAATTCAAATAGTAACTTAGTTCCCACACTCAAGCTGAGTAGAATGAGCTATGTCTGAAGAGTTTTATCCTAAATTTGTAGGAGATTCATTTAGCACGAAGCTATCCAGTTTTTTGGCTGTTACTGTGGCAACGATAGGCCAATTTTTTTCTTCAGATTTTACCTAATAACTAGGGTGATGGTGTGACCTGCCTGTCAAGTTTGAGGGAAATAGGCCAAGCCAAAACAATCACAGAAGAATTAATACGTGAAAACACCGGAAACCACACACTCAGAAACACAAAATTGATTTTAAGGTCAATCCTAGAACGGATCGCCAATAGTGAACAAAAATGTTCGTAAATATTACGGACCGCAAAAGACGCTCATCGCGAAGTGTCTTGTTTTTTTTATAAAATAATATTATTTCGTATATATAAGTTTTAGTCAAGAATATGCTGATTTTGTTATTGAACGCACCCATGTTGGCTTTGAAAATTTACGCAATAACTGTGCATAAACAAACAATGTTTTTTGGGTTAAATGTCTTTACAAGGATTCTGTCTCATGTGTTATAAATAACGGACATGCAAGTGAAATGTTTAAAGTATCCCGGGGTGTTAGGCAAGGAGACCCCATGTCTCCATACATTTTTATTATTGCAGTCGAATTTCTGGCCCAGGCTTTGAAAAACAATCGTGATATTAAAGGAATAAAGATTGATAATAACACATTATTATTAAGTAAGTATGCAGATGACACATTTTTAACATTAGATGGTTCAGAATCCTCTCTACTTGCTGTCTTCCAGGTACTTAAGAATTTCGCTTTCGTTTCAGGTTTGAATTTGAATGTAGGCAAGACAAAGGCTGTTTGGTTTGGGTCAAAAAGGGGATGCAGTGATAGAATATGCCCCACATTTAATTTAATATGGTTAGAAAATAATTTTGAATTATTGGGACTGATCTTCGACTTAAATTTAGAAAACATGGTGGTTTTAAATTATGAAGATAAATTGAGAAAACATTTCTTCCTTGTTTGCTTCATGGGGCTGTAGACCACTGTCGCTTTTGGGTAAAGTTACAATTGTTAAAAATCTTGCAATGTCACAACTAATCCATTTATTTTCCTCCTTGCCATCCCCTCCTAGCGTACTTATGAATCGTCTTAATGCAATCATTAATCGATTTATTTGGAGTGGTGGGCGAGCTAAAATATCCAGGGCTACTCTTAGTCGCGGTGTTGAACATGGTGGTTTAAATTTACCTAATTTAACACTATTTTCCAAGACGTTAAAATTGACTTGGATTAAAAAGTCCCAAGAAAAAAGTGCTCACCCGTGGAAAATACTGTATTTTAATATTTTTAGGAAAATTGGACATTCTAAGATTTGGGAAGCAGATGCAAATTATATTAAAAAGTATATTACTTCAATTAAAATACCTTTTGGTCGGAATTAATGGACATTTGGCATTCTTGTATAAATCATCAAAAATTGAATTATCAAAGTCAGGTTTTGTGGCATAATTCAAATATTGCTATAAAAGATGATTATATCAACAGGAGGTTGTGGCAAGAAAAGAATGTTTTGTATGTAAATAATTTACTAGGAGATGATGGCCGTTTTTTAAGTTATGAAAATTTAAAAGTGTAAATACGACTGCAATGTTAATTTTTTTTTAATTTCTATCTGTGTTAAAAGCTATTCCCAGGTCATGGAAAAAGGAGTTGCAGGAGAATCCTAAGAAATTAAATTCAATTGACAATTATTTTGTCCTTAATGTTAGAGACAAACCAAAACCTCACACAAAAATTTATTTGGATTTGGTTAGGAAAAACGTACCTCCTTTGGGCTGTCAAAATAAATGGGAAAAACGGCTTGAAATTCAAATTCCGGACGAAGATTGGAAACCCATTTTTAAACTACCATTTCTCTGTACATTTGATTCCAGGCTGCAGGCATTTCATTATAAATTTTTACATAGGGCAATTTACACAAATAACACTTTGTGTTTATGGAAATTAGTTGATAGTACATTGTGCACTTTTTGTAACGCTGATATTGAAACTCTTGAGCATCTTTTAATTACATGTACTATTACTAGGAGATTTTGGAGAAAATGTCAGCAACTCTGGAAAAAATGGACAAACATTGATATTTTATTGTCAGACAGGTATATTTGTTTTGGAATATACGGCAGTTTTTATTGTAATCTTCTCAACCTTTTTATTTTAATTTGTAAACAGCACCTCTATTCTGAATCGAAAAGAGGTTCTGTCCCAAAGGTGGAAGTCGTGGAGAGTATAATGTTAAACACTCGTATTGTAGAGCGACAAATAGCTATCAATAATGGTTCAATGTCTAAATTTACTGAAAAATTGAATAATTTTAATTATAAGTAATTCACTTATTAGCCAGATTTGTCACCTTATCAATAATGTTCCCCCACTTCCACTTCTTTCAAGCCATCCACTTTTCATTTTTTGTAGTTTTTTTCTTTCTTTTTTTTTTTGTAAATGTATTTTTTTAAAGTAATACAAAAATATTTAAAAAAAAAACAATGTTTTTAGACGCGTTGTATACTTGTACTCGTACTTACGACGCGGCGCGACGACCAATAGTACTAGTAGCAAACGGATTTGCAAATATATCTGGCAAGCTCAGTAAGTGTCAACCTACCTACCTAACCACGTTCAAATACTAGTATTACAGTAAATTTGCTGATTTATAGTATGACCAAATTTTAAAAACAGAGAATTAATCATACACCGTGTACCATCAATGTATTCAGTTATGTATTCAGCGATTATAATATGACATTGTTTAGATTATTATTACTTCATTAGTCTTCCATTTTTATGTTCTATTATTAAATAAATGATGCTCATATGATGATTAATTTGCAAAGAGTTATGAATTATTCATGAGATGCATGATTTATAATCAGCGTATCAATAACACTGGACATGAAACATTGCAAGTAGTTTTAGTACGGGATAACATAATAATGACTAAAGCGGGAGTCGCACCTGCGCATGCGTTAGATGGTCATAGCGTGCCATTGTTTACAAAAAAATGGTGCCCATGAGCCTTTGCGTTTTTAGAGTGTGTTGTTATCGTTGATTGGGACTCAATTCCAGGTGACGACTCTCCCGGTTTATTATATATGCAAATCAGCATTCTGGCACAGCTAAAGCAGAAGTCTCGAATGTTGGGTTTGTAAATAAATAAATAATTGTTATGTTTATGATTTCAATTTTTATCATTTTCTTAAACAGTGCATATCGTGATGTATTTCTGTTTTTAGTATGTCTCAAAATATTACAAGAAATGTAATTAAAATATATGGGTAATCTAACGCAGCTTAGCCATTAGCATTGTCACAATTACGTGTTAGGGCGTCTTCATCCTGTTTGGTAATCGTCGTAGCGGGCGTTAATGACGCGACTTTGTCAAGCTGTTTCTAGAAGAATCCTGTGTGTGCTGCTGAATTCGCTTTACTCTGACAATCGGATATAGCGCCTTGTAGAATTAAAAACGAACACAAAATTAAATTTAACTAAATTACGACGTGGATGGCGCTGCTACTGTGTCAAGTTGAACATTTATACTTATCACGTTCATTGACGTCATCAAGGGGTGCGTGTGTACGAACAAACAAACAAACAAAAGCTTATGGACCAAACCTTGGTCATGTACATCCTATTATTTTGATCTGTATGGCTTATGCATGAACCATAAAGCTTCAAATTCAAAGCGCAATTTTTAGTAAACCTAATGTATATTTCAGCACATAATTTTTAAGGTAAAAAATAATATTTTCTTTGAACCACAGTTTTACGGTAGTTTATCACTAATATAATTAACTTTAAATCATATACGAAGTGATAATGGTGTTTTTAACATAAAAAAACGTTTCTATATTTTCTTGCATATAAATATGCACGACGATGGTTTACTACTAAGGAAATAATTCACGAGTGTTGACTGGGTCGTACCGATATCCTACACTCAAACATTCGGGGTCAATGGTAGGTGTGTCCAATAAGCCAAATAATAAAGAATCGAAAGCAGTAAAATTGACTTCCTCATAAAATTGGTTTTACTGCTGCGCTCATGTGTGTATAGACGTTACAAATATAAGGCCATCGATATGAACAGCCTATTTATGAAAAAATTGGAGTTAAAAACGGGAACTAAATCGATATGTGGCTACTATCCCTTGAACATGGGATATCAGTTGATAAAGTACCGTGTTTTGACCATCTGCCATCTTATTGTTATGCAAATAAATGAAATGGATACAACAACTGAATGAATGGCATAAATAATGAGTTGTCTTGCAGCAGTCAGGCATCAATGGTTATTATATTGGTTTTATAAAAAAAAATACACTGTCTGCGTTTTTTTCGTTTTTTTACGTGGAATTTAAACTAACATAAAGTATGGCTTCATTCTGTAACCCGGCTATGCGGAGCGAACAAAATAATATAATAGAATGTATTTTTTATTGCACGCATACTGTCACGACTGGACACTTGATTTATGGGCATTCTGGTTAATTGTCAACAATTTTAGCATCGCTAAGGAGTCCTAATTTTACGATTTGGCGATAAGAACGAAATGCATAAGGAGTCACCCCGACAGAGTTTGCGCAGTTTATCATAATACGACTGAGGCACACCTGATAATATAGCGGTCGGCGGAGCACACGGGCAGCATGGCGAGCAGGTGACCATCGTAATAGCACAACTATCCAGGATGACGTTACATCGCTGGAGAAATCTAATTAGTCAAATTGTGTGCGTAGTACTGAATATTCTTGTACTGTCAGGTAAGGGTTGTTTACTCGCCACTGTCCATTTCATGCTCGGCGCTCTGTACATCTACACACTATATATACATATATACACACATATTGGGTGTATTAAGTAGTCTCGAATTGTAATCAAGTGTAGTGGACCGAGTGTTACAAACACATCCATTAAACTGTATAATACAGTAAACTTCGAGGTCGTCAAGCGAAGATACATTAAGTTTCAACGCGACTGCATATACGTCCGTCCATTTAAATGAACAATTGGCGAACACTCTGAAAACCGTTATTGTCACTAAATTAAGCAGAGAAGACGATTTTACGATCAACATTTTAGCTTATTCCAATATCCGAGGGAAAATAAGCGTGAATGCCACTTCATAAAATAAAATTTCCTAAACACCTTCTCTGGCTGAAATTGTATCTTTTTCACTTTCTTTCTATAAATAGTATATTTTGACGTCGTTATTCCGTTTGAAAACCAGTCTTGTGATACTTGATGTCGACAATTGTTTGCTAGCCAACACCGTCGATTTGATTTATGCTTCCCTTGCGTATTTCCCGGGACGTAAAAACCTGTTAAGGTGACGGTAATCTTGTGTTAATTTTTTATGCTTCTTTACAATTTTCAGCGTGCAGATATTACGAAGCATTTTCGACCTGATGCATGTTCTGCCTTTAATATATGTAATATTTTATTTTAGTATTATTATTATTGTTCTATTTCAATATTAATTTCTCGTATGCCAGTACACTTTCCATTAAGGTCGTGCGCCCTCGTATCAAGCGGACAGGGTGTCCTTGAATCGTATGGTTGAGTATAAAACTGCAATAAATGCACGGCGGTAAAAACCCTAGGTACACTAAAAACGTTTCTCTTTCATATGTAACTCTAGCGCTTGCACCCATAGGCCCAATAGCAACTACAATTGTCACGTGTGATAACTTGACAGCTTGGCGTCGCTGAAAACAAATCACCCCAATTTCGCGTATCCATGGATACCGTATCAATTCAGAAATACCGCGGGCGAGATGGCGACTAAGGTTGCATCATAGCAAGATTGATTTTCATTTGTCATATGCATTTTTATTTCCTGTGCCCAGACATTAATGTTCTCCTAAAATATTGATGCATCGGCAAAGACCTAGGGCACCGTAAAATAGTGGATTGACAAAGAGACATGTGCAGAATGAAACCGACATTAATATTGTCTTCAGTCTTCAGGATCACAGAAGGCTGAAAACGAAAAATTAGAATTATTTCCGGGATTATATAACTGGTTGTCATGGAAACTATGCAATGTCAAAAATTAATATTTCCAGTTGGTTTTTCTGTCAATTGATGCGTAATGTCTGTAAATATTAATAATTCCTGTAAGACCCGTCACTCCATAAGAAAAATTAAAGAGCGG